GTCTGCGGGCGGCCCGCGGGAAATGACACATTTTCACAGATCGCAGCCCTCCAGGGATGGCGAAGTCTAATCTGAATCCCCGTATGACGTCACTCCGCTGGCCACCCCAGCACCCCTCGAAAGTGGCGACAGGTTCGCAGATCGCAGCCCCCCAGAGATGGCGAGGTCTAATCTGAGTCCCTGTGGGGCGTCACTCCGCTGGCCACCCCAGCAGCCCTCGAAAGTGGCGACAGTTTCACAGATCGCAGCCCCCCCGGGGATGGCGAGGTCTATTCTGAGTCCCCGTAGGGCGTCACTCCGCTGGCCACCCCAGCAGCCCTCGAAAGTGGCGACAGTCTCACAGATCGCAGCCCCCCCACGGATGGCGAGGTCTAATCTGAGTCCCCGTAGGGCGTCACTGCGCTGGCCACCCCAGCAGCCCTCGAAAGTGGCGACAGTTTCACAGATCGCAGCCCCCCAGGGATGGCGAGGTCTAATCTGAGTCCCCGTAGGCGTCACTCCGCTGGCCCCCCAGCAGCCCTCGAAAGTGGCGACAGTTTCACAGATCGCAGCCCCCCAGGGATGGCGAGGTCTAATCTGAGTCCCCGTGGGGCGTCACTCCGCTGGCCCCCCCAGCAGCCCTCGAAAGTGGCGACAGTTTCACAGATCGCAGCCCCCCAGGGATGGCGAGGTCTAATCTGAGTCCCCGTAGGGGTCACTCCGCTGGCCCCCCAGCAGCCCTCGAAAGTGGCGACAGTTTCACAGATCGCAGCCCCCCAGGGATGGCGAGGTCTAATCTGAGTCCCCGTAGGGCGTCACTCCGCTGGCCACCCCAGCAGCCCTCGAAAGTGGCGACAGTTTCACAGATCGCAGCCCCCCCCGGATGGCGAGGTCTAATCTGAGTGTAGGGCGTCTGCGCTGGCCACCCCAGCAGCCCTCGAAAGTGGCGACAGTCTCACAGATCGCAGCCCCCCACGGATGGCGAGGTCTGATCTGAGTCCCCGTGGGGCGTCACTCCGCTGGCCACCCCAGCAGCCCTCGAAAGTGGCGACAGTTTCACAGATCGCAGCCCCCCAGGGATGGCGAGGTCTAATCTGAGTCCCCGTGGGGCGTCATTTCGCTGGCCACCCCAGCAGCCCTCGAAAGTGGCGACAGTTTCACAGATCGCAGCGCCCCAGAGATGGCGAGGTAAAGATAGGTAAAAAGCAAGCGAGGAGAGGAGGAGCGAAGAGAAGAGGATGAGGAGGTAAGAGCAAGAGAAGAGACGAAGAGGGGAGAGAGGAGGCGGGAGGAGGAGGAAGGTGGAGACCACACCACAGTGCTCTATTCAAAACGAGTGCCCAACACAGGAGGGTTGGGAAATTACCCTGGCGACGTACCCAACCCCTGCGCAAAAGCGGGGCGCAAATACTTTAGGATATTTTATAAGGGGGCGATGACGGAGCGAGGGTTACATATGTCTGCAGACGGAATTCGGGAGACTCGCCGGACACTGGCTACAGGAAAAGGGCTTGATAAAGCTGATGGTTTACAATTCCTGAGCACTCCTAGCCACTTCGAAAACGGTGATCACAGCAGGCCTCGAAAGTGGCGACAGGTTCACAGATCGCAGCCCCGCAGGGACGGCGAGGTCTCATTTGAATCTGCCCGTGGCCCTCACTGTGCTGGGCCCCCCAGCAGGCCTCGAAAATGGCGGCAGTTTCGCAGATCGCAGCCCCCCAGGGATGGCGAGGTCTAATTTGAATCCGCGCGTGGCCCTCACTGTGCTGGGCCCCCCAGCAGGCCTCGAAAGTGGCGACAGTTTCACAGATCGCAGCCCCCCAGGGAGGGCGAGGTCTAATTTGGATCTGCCGCGATTACCCTCTATGCTGGACCCCCCAGCAGGCCTCGAAAGTGGCGACAGTTTCACAGATCGCAGCCCCCCCCCCCAGGGATGGCGAGGTCTAATTTGAATCTGCCGCGATTACCCTCTATGCTGAGCCCCCCAGCAGGCCTCGAAAGTGGCGACAGTTTCACAGATCGCAGCCCCCCAGGAATGGCGAGGTCTAATTTGGATCTGCCGCGATTACCCTCTATGCTGGACCCCCCAGCAGGCCTCGAAACTGGCGACAGTTTCACAGATCGCAGCCCCCCGCAGGCAAGACAGAAAGAGGCAGGAAAGAGGCGGGAGGCGGGAGGAGGAAGGACGCGACCATACTGCTCTATTCAAAACGAATACCCAACCAAGGAGGGTTGGGAAAAAAGAAATTACCCTGGCGACGTACCCAACCCCTGCGCAAAAGCGGGGCGCAAATAGTTTAGGATACTTTATAAAGGGGGGCGATGACGGAGCGAGGGTTACATATGCCTCCAGACGGAATTCGGGAGACTCACAGGACACTGGTTACAGGACAAGGACTAGATAAAGCTGATTCGTTACAATCCCTGAGCAACCCTAGCCACTTCGAAAGCGGGGATCTCAGATCGCAGCCCCCCAGGGATGGCGAGGTCTAATTTGGGTCCGCGCGTGGCGTCACTGTGCTGGGCCCCCCAGCAGGCCTCGAAAGTGGCGACAGTTTCACAGATCGCAGCCCCCCAGGGATGGCGAGGTCTAATTTGAATCGCGTGTGGCGTCACTGTGCTGGGCCCCCCAGCAGGCCTCGAAAGTGGCGACAGTTTCACAGATCGCAGCCCCCCAGGGATGGCGAGGTCTAATTTGAATCTGCCGTGGCGTCACTGTGCTGGGCCCCCCAGCAGGCCTCGAAAGTGGCGACAGTTTCACAGATCGCAGCCCCCCAGGGATGGCGAGGTCTAATTTGAATCGCCCGTGGCGTCACTGTGCTGGGCCCCCCAGCAGGCCTCGAAAGTGGCGACAGTTTCACAGATCGCAGCCCCCCAGGGATGGCGAGGTCTAATTTGAATCCGCCCGTGGCGTCACTGTGCTGGGCCCCCCAGCAGGCCTCGAAAGTGGCGACAGTTTCACAGATCGCAGCCCCCCAGGGATGGCGAGGTCTAATTTGAATCCGCGTGGCGTCACTGTGCTGGGCCCCCCAGCAGGCCTCGAAAGTGGCGACAGTTTCACAGATCGCAGCCCCCCAGGGATGGCGAGGTCTAATTTTGAATCCGCCGTGGCGTCACTGTGCTGGGCCCCCCAGCAGGCCTCGAAAGTGGCGACAGTTTCACAGATCGCAGCCCCCCAGGGATGGCGAGGTCTAATTTGAATCCGCCCGTGGCGTCACTGTGCTGGGCCCCCCAGCAGGCCTCGAAAGTGGCGACAGTTTCACAGATCGCAGCCCCCCAGGGATGGCGAGGTCTAATTTGAATCCGCCGTGGCGTCACTGTGCTGGGCCCCCCAGCAGGCCTCGAAAGTGGCGACAGTTTCACAGATCGCAGCCCCCCAGGGATGGCGAGGTCTAATTTGAATCTGCCGCGTGGCCCTCTGTGCTGGGCCCCCCAGCAGGCCTCGAAAGTGGCGACAGTTTCACAGATCGCAGCCCCCCAGGGAGGGCGAGGTCTAATTTGGATCTGCCGCGATTACCCTCTATGCTGGACCCCCCAGCAGGCCTCGAAAGTGGCGACAGTTTCACAGATCGCAGCCCCCCAGGGATGGCGAGGTCTAATTTGGATCTGCCGCGATTACCCTCTATGCTGGACCCCCCAGCAGGCCTCGAAAGTGGCGACAGTTTTCGCCTCGGCTGGCAGACATTCACAGATCGCAGCCCCCCAGGGATGGCGAGGTCTAATTTGAATCTGCCGCGATTACCCTCTATGCTGAGCCCCCCAGCAGGCCTCGAAAGTGGCGACAGTTTCACAGATCGCAGCCCCCCGCAGGCAAGACAGAAAGAGGCAGGAAAGAGGCGGGAGGCGGGAGGAGGAAGGACGCGACCACACTGCTCTATTCAAAACGAATACCCAACCAAGGAGGGTTGGGAATTACCCTGGCGACGTACCCAACCCCTGCGCAAAAGCGGGGCGCAAATAGTTTAGGATACTTTATAAGGGGGCGATGACGGAGCGAGGGTTACATATGTCTGCAGACGGAATTCGGGAGACTCGCAGGACACTGGCTACAGGAAAAGGGCTTGATAAAGCTGATGATTTACAATTCCTGAGCACTCCTAGCCACTTCGAAAACGGGGATCACAGCAGGCCTCGAAAGTGGCGACAGGTTCACAGATCGCAGCCCCGCAGGGACGGCGAGGTCTCATTTGAATCTGCCCGTGGCCCTCACTGTGCTGGGCCCCCCAGCAGGCCTCGAAAATGGCGGCAGTTTCGCAGATCGCAGCCCCCCAGGGATGGCGAGGTCTAATTTGAATCCGCGCGTGGCCCTCACTGTGCTGGGCCCCCCAGCAGGCCTCGAAAGTGGCGACAGTTTCACAGATCGCAGCCCCCCAGGGAGGGCGAGGTCTAATTTGGATCTGCCGCGATTACCCTCTATGCTGGACCCCCCAGCAGGCCTCGAAAGTGGCGACAGTTTCACAGATCGCAGCCCCCCAGGGATGGCGAGGTCTAATTTGAATCTGCCGCGATTACCCTCTATGCTGAGCCCCCCAGCAGGCCTCGAAAGTGGCGACAGTTTCACAGCCCCCCGCAGGCAAGACAGAAAGAGGCAGGAAAGAGGCGGGAGGCGGGAGGAGGAAGGACGCGACCACACTGCTCTATTCAAAACGAATACCCAACCAAGGAGGGTTGGGAAAAAACTCCCGGGAATACTGCGTAAAAAACCGTACGCGGAGGAGGGCCAGACATCTTCCAGACGTCATCAGGGACGAGATGAGAGTTTTATTCATACTGTGTAATTGTGAAGGGGGGAAGGGGAAGAGAGACGGGCGGAGCAGATGGGCATCCACTGTCGAGCCGGAGGCAGGCACAACGCGGGGCCGCGCTGGAGGGCGCCTCCGTGCACCAGCTCGTGACATACTCCCAGCGGGGTCGTCTTCCCAACTGCGGCAGGCGCCGAGCTCGGCAGCGCGAGCGAGCCAGCCAGGGCCCTCCAACGTAAGAGGGTGAGGGGAAGGAGCTGCGGTGAGGGGGGGGGGGGCCTGGCTCAGGAGCACGAACGCGTACCTGTCCAGCTCGACGTCGAGGCGCAGCCAGTTCTGCTCTTCCTCTACCCTGGCGCGGGAGGGAGGGGGCGTGGCACAGCATGGTGTTAAGACAATGCCTAATCATCCTCATCTTCCTGATTATTCTCTCCTACTTCCTCCCCGCCTCCACCTCCTCCCTCCCCCTCCTCGTTCTCCTCCTCCTCCTTTTCCTCCGCCTCCTCCTCCTCCTCCTCCTCCTCTTCAACCTCCATCCCTTTACCTCATAAATAACTCCTCCCTGTCGCACCCCAAGACGTGTCGGCAGGGAAGGCCAAGCGTTTCGCCTGAAACTGCCTCACCAGCATGATCCTGAAGCTTAATGCTTGCAACAGCTTCAGGGATGGAGGGCGGGCGGTTTTCAAAACGTTGCTCTCGCCTCAGCGTCGCGCACAATCGTCTCGAAAGTTTGCAAACTGTTAAGTTTGCAAACTTTCGAGACGATTGTGTGGCTCCCGCCTCAGGGCCCTGCACATTCCTCTGCAAAGTTTGTACCGGCTTCATTTGTGGAGGGCGGCTCGTTTTCAAAATGTGGCTTTCGCCTGTGCGCGCGCATATCCGCCTCCCCGTCCAGCCACGCGCGCAGGGAGAAATTAAGACCGCTCGGCCCCCTCACCCTGATCACGGTGAGGACATTGGATGAGGAACCAAAAAGAAATCCAGGGTCTGGAAGCCGGCGGAACCCCAGTCGTGGAGTTGCCAAGGATGTCACCGCCGCCCTGATTGGACAAGGAGCCCTCCAGGGTCTGAAACCTTATGAGAACTTTCCTTGGCGAACGCCCCGACAATATCGGTATCATCGTCGCCCGTAGAATCGGCATCATCAACATCACCTCCCAGGGCCTCCTGGAGGCCCTGAGAGGCATCCGGAGAGACCCCAGGAGGCCTTCAAGGGCCTCGCGTCCACGACCCAGGCACGGTGGGGTGGCGGGATGAGCCGAAGGCCACTGGATCCACCGCCCCCTGCTGTCTTGCCACAGGTGTGCACGGCGTGCCGAACGTCTGGCAGGGGTTCGGTTTTTTGCTGAAAAGGAGCTCTCAGTGGGGTCTTGGCCGAACCCGCCGGGCACCCAGAACTTCCCGCAAAATCCGACTCCATAAGCCCGATCGCCTCGAAGCGTCCAAGATGAATGGCATCCAAGATGCTTCCAAGATGGCCAAGATGACCCACGATGGCCTCCAAGACGGTCCCCAAATGCCTCCAAGACGGCCAACCAAGATAGGCTCCAGAGAGCCGACGACGACGACGACGACGACGACGACGACGGACGACGGACGACGGACGACGGACGACGGACGAGGGACGCCAGACGACGGACGGCACGACGGCGACGGACGACAAACGACGACGACGGACGATGCACGACGCACGACGGACGACGGACGACAGACGTCGGACGACGGACGACAACGACGGCGACGACGACGACGACGACGACGACGCCAGCGGCGGCGGCGGCGGCGGACAACGGACGACGGACGACGGACATCGACGACAATTCCGTTGCCGTGGCCGTCGTCGTCGCTGTGGCCATCTCCGTCGTCGGCACCGTCGTCCCCGTCGCCGCCGTCGACGCGGCGACCGCGGCGGCGACCGCGGCGGCGACCGCGGCGGCGACCGCGGCTGCGACCGCGGCTGCAACCGCGGCAGCGGCCGCGGCGGCGACCGCTGACGTCCTGGGGGCCACCACGCGCCGCAAGGCGGCAAGCGCCTCAAGCTGCGCGGGTGCGGGCGCAGGCTGGCCCTTCAGCAAGAGCAGATTGTCCACCGCCGGACGGATGCTCGGCACCTCCCCCAGCGGTTGGAGCGCCGCGCGTGGGGTGCGCGCGCCTCGCCGCCGGCGCCATCGTCGTCCTCAGAATCGTGATCAGAATCACCATCACCCTAACCCACAATCATCACCATCATCATCAGCACCAGATGCATCATGATCAGCAGCAACGCCATCTTCGTAACACGCTTCATCGTCAGCATCTGCACCGTCCGCATCGTTTTTGTTAGCATGAACGTCGGCACCAGAAACCTCATGACAAGAAAAATGTTCAGTGATGTCGATGTGCGTACTCGTGTCCGCAGCAGGAGTCGAACCAACCTAACCCCCCGAACCCCCGTCTGGGTCAAGTTGTTCAGCTGTTGTCCTGGGAGGGACCCTCGTGTGATGGCTGGCCGTCTCGGGAGTCTGTAGGAAGGTAGGCACCGCAAAGCAGGAATGCCGTTTAGAGCTTTGTCACCCAGTGTCGGCCAGGGGGTGGACACTGCGTCCTCGTTCGGACGGCAGCTGGCTCGCAAACTTCTGATGCGCCGTTGAGCTAGATCCATGCTAGGTCCTCCTCCTCCTCGTCCTCCTCCTCTTCCTCCTCCACCTCCTCGTCCTCCGAACGTCGACGACGTCGTCGTCGTCGACGACGCCGACGACGACGATGACGGACGACGACGGACGACGACGACGACGACGACGACGACGACGACGACGACGACGCCGACGACGACGACTGAAGACGACGGACGACGACGGCGGCGGCGACGACGGACGACGACGGCGGCGGCGGCGGCGGCGAAAACAACACGACGACGACGACGACGACGACGACGAAGGCGACGACGACAACGACGACGACGACACACCGGCCTGAGCGGCCAGCTGCCTGGCGGAGTCGTCCAGGCCGGACGCGTTGAAGAAGCTCCGCAGCTCCACCTCGGGGCCGGGGCGACGTCGTCGTCGTCGTCTCTGCGCGGCCAGTGCGGAGAGCAGAAAGTTCGCACTGGCACGATCTCGTCGAAGCGGGCAATGGCGCCTCGCCTGCACACTTGCCGCGGGGGAGAACGGGACGTTTGAAGACGAGGGGGGGGTAACGGAAAGGGAACGGGAGAAGGGAGGAGTTGAAGGAGAGGAGCATTGGCACGAGCTAACATAAACGTTGCAAAAAAAGGAAGAGGAGGAGGAGGACGAGGAGGAGGAGGAGGAAGAGGGGGACGAGGAGGATTCTATTCTATTCTACCTCTATGCGTGGTGACCTGCAGCTAGGCGGGGCACGCTGGGCCAACTCACAAATCAGGGAACCTTCCTCCAGACTTAGGAGGCAATCCCTTCTTCAGACGGCTGAGCACTTCGTGGCCAGCACGGGCGGGAGGCATACACTCCAACCTGAGGTTCCTCGGGTTCTCAACACAATGGCACCCGCAGACCTGACAAAACAAAACTCCTCTGAGAGTGGCGAGCTGATGCGAGGCATGGCAAAGCTCGGCCACAGGATGATCCATTCCCCCACCCACTCCGGCCTCGAAAGGCCCAAGATCATCAGGAGGAGGTGAGGGCCCCCTACCAGGAGGGGCAGGTGCACTCCTAGCAGGGAGGGCCTGAATTCGCTGATTTATCTCTGCACGGGGTTTGCAAATGCAAGGCCAAAATTCACAGAGAGGGCCTCGACGTCCGAACGAGCGGGCGCACAAACGACACTTAAAGGACGATGAACGCACCACACAGTCATGACCCGAGTCACGGAGTCTGCAAAGGCGCTCATCCAGAGATCTCACAGACGTACGGGTGCGTCCGAGTCGCCGCACATTCTCACGATCGGAGCAAAACAAAACCTCTCTCTGGACAGACAGAAGGCGGCCCACAACCTTGAATGCCCGCTCATCGGCCAGAAGGGTGCGACGGGCCGCATCTTCTGTCACCTGGCCAGCATCAGCAGCCTTTCCCGCGAAAAAATCAGCAGCTTCATTGAGGTAAATTTTAGTGTCACTCAAAACCATGTGAAACGCCTGGGCCTGGGTGGGGTGACCGTTGGTCCAACGAACATCAACCGTGCCGCCCCGAGCCCCCAGGACCTCATGGTATATCTTCCAAAGATCAAGCATAGACGATTTAGCCTTCATACTTAGGGGGCGACGAACACCTTTCACAACGGCCATATTGTCTGAATATACTCTGACATTGCCAGTTGAGCGCATAACCAGCTGTACAAGTGCATACAATTCGGCTCGACCAGCAGACTGCACCTTAGTCGGCAGTGCACCGCTGGCTACGCCGTCAAAATGGCCTGCAGGACCTTGGTGGACGATAGCCCATCCACATCGCCTTAGTCGCCAATCTTTATGATACTTACCCCCGCTGCCATCGATTCCCCAGACACCCCCGTTCACACGGGCCCCCGCACTCAACTTTCCCCAATCCCAGGAGAGGTCCACGGGCTCAGGGAGGTGGCCAACACCGGCGGATAAGGGCGGGAGCCCACGCATCCAGAAACAGGAGGATTCGGGAGAACCCAAAGCTTCGGCCTTAGAATCATTCGATCGGTCGATCGCGCTGTCTGGGATATCATCATTACATCTGCAGGACCAAAAGCGATGGGCAGCAGTTTCGGCCTCGAGGCCGCACCTAGGCCACTTGCCATTCGTAGAAGACTCGTAGCCAGCCTTAGCAAGACGGTCCTCGGTCCAAAAACCAGCAGTCAAAACGTTACGGATCATACCAGCGGCTTCGAAAGAGCCCTCTTTTTCAAGTTTCCTCAAAAACATCCGAAGGGGCAGTAAATTCCACTCCCCCTCCTAAACCAGACCCTTCATAGTGTTTAGCAGCCCCGCTCCACGACATGCCCCCGCACACCTCCATGAGCGCGCTCCAGAGGGTGTGGGGGGAAAGCCTGGTCGCTGGAGCGGATGTGCACTCCATTGGGAAAAATCCAACACGCTGGGCTCTGCGGTACCACATTGAGGTCGAGGAGCACCGCTACTGTAGCCGCCAACGGGCCGCGAACACATTGCCACCGATGTTTGGTATTGCTAAACTTCGCAACAATAATGTCCCAGCACCGAGAAACCTCCATTCTTTTAGCGTGCGCAAGGTCTTGCCAAACATCGTAGAAACTCACAAGCTGCCCATAGCGAAGCCTAAAATGGGGGTCATCCTTGGCAGGACTGATGAGCCCCAAGACGGTGGTAGTGCAGGCCCCAGGGTTCCATCTACCACTGCACATGGCCGCTTGGGCTCTCATAGACTGGATTTGCCCTGGAGTAAGCCCCAACACCCGGTGGGACCACGAACCGACAGCGAGGACCCCAGGTTCGTACAATCGCCTCGCGGATCCCACAATACGGGCAAGGAAAGCAACCTGTTTGGCCTTCTTGGAGGCCTGGCTGCGTCGTTGCATTAACTTCACAGTAGATCTCTTTTTTTCCTGCCGTAGTCATGGCCCCCAGATCTCGAGTTGCCGCGTGCAATTGGATATGCAACCCTGTCGCCCTGAAACGGGCGGCCAACTCACGTCCAAGGTCTGTATGGCTGCACACAAGAGCAGACTTGGCAGAGATCGTGCAACCAACTTCTTCAAGCTGGTGGGTCAACAGCATGGCGGCAGGCACTAGAGAGTTCAGTATATCCTTCATATTTCCAACCTGGGATTGGGTAATATCGTCGACATACGATTTAACCTGGACGGGACGGTATTTGACATGAGCCAAATCCAGGATATCATACAAATAAATCTTAACCCATGACATGGATTGCATGCATCCCGCCAGGATACCCCGCCCAGGGGGAATAATATCCGAAACAAAACCACCAACCTCTAGCACACGTGGGGATTCATGAATCAGAACACCAAGGTAGAGGAGGTGGAGCGGGTAGTCCATCTTCACAGCCAACTCAAGCAGCCTGCGCGGCTGGACCGAGTCGAAAAAAAAACGCTTGAGGCCCCAATGGGCTCCGACCGAGCAGAGCCCAAGCATACGAGCCATCTCGTGGCCGAGCTCACGAAGTAAGACGGCCTGGAGCGCGCTGGATCCTTTCACAGCGGTGTCCCAATAATTGTACCTGTCTAGAGTCCATCTATCAAGATCAGAATTCCGAGCCTTACAGTAGACCCTGTAAAGGGTAGGGCATTTACAAATAGGGCGATCACACTCAATATTCTTGGGAAGTAAGGCAATACCACTCAGATAAACCTGGGACGGCCAGGACAGAGAAGTTTCACACTGATTACGGAGATGCGCGCACCCCAAAACAGCATCCCGAGGTAAATCAACCGACGCCCTGGGAGCCCAAGAGTCGACCCCAACCGCAGTCGAGTTGGAAAAACACCTCGCAGCTCTCAACACATCAATGGGTTCCACGGGGTCCAACATCTCAAGGGACACGAGAGCTCGAGGCCTGAGCGCGCCAAGCACTCCAGAGAGCAAAGACATACCGTCGGGGGAGTGCCAAACTTGGCTCCAGAAAGCCTGCCGATAATCCAAGAGATCCCCAGGAAGCTGACGGACCCCTTGAGGGGCCAACAAGACTTGGGGCGGTTCCCCAAGGTCGTGTTTCAACCAAGCGTGCACCTTTTTCGCACCTTTGGGAAGGGCTTTCAGGAGCCAGTCTTTCATTCGAGCTCTGGACAAGCTCCTTGCGGCCTTCCAGGCAGCAATCACGCGAGTAGAAATAGCTCCCGTCAAGGTGTCGAGTCCTTCGACCTCAGTGGGAAGAGAACAAAAATGGGCGCGCCACCAGCCAATGCCGCGCGCATCGTCGGCACAGATGCATTTGTCCAGCTGCAAAGCTAAACCTTGAAGGGCGCTACCTAAGCTCGCGACCATCTGCAAAGACTTTCGTGTCAGGTAAAATCGATATTCGTACATGTTTTGAGACATCTGGGCCCAAAAAGCAAGTTCAGGTTCACGAAAACTCTGGCCAGCAGGGCCCCGTCCGTCCAGTCGTTGAACGTCGAAAAACAAGAAATTCACCTCGTTTTACCCGGCTCACACTGCGGTCAACTGCAACCGCACGAGACTCAAACATGGCTTCGGTCGCTCTAGACCAAGTGCGGTACATAGCGGTAAGCCTCTCACTTAAATTGTCCTGAACATGCGGCACCAGTGCATTGTAAAGATACCCAGGGACTTCAGGCAGCACTCCTTCACGCCCGAGTTGAGCAGCGGCCGTTAGGAGATGCTGTGACCAGGGTAAATCAGGCCCAGGACAGTTAGGGAAAGGTACAGGCTTACCACGTTGCCACATATGTTGTTCAAGAGCTTCATGTTGTATACAAATTTTAAGGCAGACATGCGTTTTGAAAGGGCTGTGAGTACATGTACTTACATGTACAAAATCGGCCAAGCCGCTCGAAGCTATAACATAGTCAATAAGTGTGCCACGTCCCTGGGTACAAGTAACCTCGACATCATCAGGTACTAAGCAGCGTGCACGTGCAAGCTTCGGGAAACCAGACAAGTCCATGTCGCTCACAGGTACGTTGAAATCTCACATCAAAAGCCAGGGGATAGCGAGGGCCCCAAGGAACTCGGAAACGGCACGGATACGCTCGATGTTTTCCCCAGAAAAACCAGGTCAGCAATCAAATAGATCACACCTACAGCAATGATACATTCTTTGGTTCTGAGCTCCAAAAATTGCCAGTTGAGGCCACTGCCAAAATCTGACAAGCTCGGATCCGAGGACAAAAAACGCTGGAAACATAAACCTTTGGAAACCACAGCTCCTACTCCTCCATGAGTACCCCCTCCAGGGGAGGGGAGGGCTGGTCTCAGATGCGGCCTCCAGCCGATCTGAGCTGCATTGCGTTTGGCGCGCGAGAGGCCCTTCAAAAGATGATGTTCAGCAACGAAGAAGCCATCGCACAAGGGCTGAATCTCCTGCAGGAAATCCAATGTCACCTGATTCCATGATGTGATAGCGCAGAACATCAACTCAAT